CTCTGACTCGGCTCTGCCTCCTGCCTCGACATGATGAGTGAAACTGAGGGGGAAGAAGTCGGGTGAGAGGCCTGAAAGGAACTGCAGCTAATTCATGAAAAGAAAAAAAACACTATCTTATAAACAAGAAAGGAGTTATAGCAGCATGCAAAATACACAGAGCACCACCATAAAATGCGACTCTGAGCCGCTGGTGTTTTGGAGTTTTGATCTCTGTTCTGTTTAGAATTCGCTGCAAGTAATCAGTGTGAAAAAAGCACTCCTTTCATTCCCTTTGACTTCGAGGCCTAATGGCTTTTTCAGTAACGACTTTGTGTCCTTAACGGCGCAAACATCATTAACCCAGGCCATTGTTATTCTAATCTCTCTCTGTCAGCGGGGCTTGGAGGCAGGGCCTTCGTCTGGTTGAAACAGTTTCCTCATTGTGAGTCTGGAGGGAGGTGGTGTGGAGGCTGCCACCTGAGCGAGCCTGGGTGTCCACAAAACCTTACATTTAGGGTGGTCCAACCTGCCATCCCCACACCACGTCCTCTTGGCTTCACTCTTTATGCGGTCCTTAATCCCAACTCCCACAATCCTTTTCACCCTCTCTCTCACACAAACAAGCCCCCTCACACGATGAAGAAAGTTTCCCTGGCCCTCGTTTGTTGACTTATCTGGCACGGCAGCAGTTCCTCTTTCCAAAAACGAGTATCTTAAAACACTGTTTGTTGGGCTTGTTTTGCAGCGGGACATCCCTGTCCTGAGAGACACAGGAAGAGCCTCTGCCATCTCCTCTGCAACTTGAGCAGGTGCTAAGACAAGGCATCTTTGTACAGAATAGATGACTTTGAATTTGGGGGTTTGACAGCACTCCTGGCCTGGCCCTGTGCATGCACCGCCTCCCCTCCATCTGCTTGTGGGGGGGAACTTGAACGTGAGAAGTAAGCTGTGACAGACCGCCAAGGGGGAAACCATATATCCTGAAGTGACACAGATTCCAAAGGTAGTTGGTTTTTTGGCCTCCAAGGCCGTCTGTCAAGAAGCTTTTATCCCTGGCTGCCCTTTTTTTTTTTTTACTGGCTGCAGTTATTCATGTTGGCCCAGTGTTACCTAATACTTCACAATAGAGAAAAACAATAACAAGTCCTGTTTGGCAACTGTGACTTAACAGCAAAATGCATAGACCATGGATCTCTGAAACAGGGGAAGATGTTTAAATTGTGGAGTTTCAATAATAATGTGAAATATTATGAGTATAGAATATATGAGTAACAAATGTGTTGCTGGGCAGTCTTATGCTTGAAATTAAATGTTAAATGTTGCACTCAGATGGAACAGTTCTAATGCTGTCTAGTCCCCGATGCTATGACAAGATCTTATTCCTGTCTTTGAGAGGCTGTGGCTAACAGTGAGACTTTAAGCCTTTCCTAAATGTACAAAAATTCTCCTGAAAATTACCCCAAATTCTCAGGGGGGCTGCATGTGTAAACCAATTCTATCAACCCAAGTCCAATGGCAAAATAAAATAATAAAAACACTACTGGATTACACAAACCTGAAATCCTAGTCCAGAAAAAAGATTCCCATTGGGAAAAAAAAAAACATGTTAGAAAGTTGTAGAGGTGTCAATCAGGGCACCACCTCGCTACGACTCAGCTCATTAAGTTTCCAGCAGTTTGTTTTAAACCTCAAGTGTTTCAACGACAAGTCAGCGTTCAGCCAAGTCTGCAGTCAGTTGGAAGGTATAACACCAACATCTCCAAACAACTTAACTGCCTGAGGAATCGACATGGGAATTTTTCTCCAATTCAAGGCATAAACGAACCAAATACCAATCTTAGCTGAAGCACACACATTCTTGAACTTCTGATTTTCACAGTTAAATAAATGGTAGAAATTAAACTGTATAAAGTGTCACTTACCTGATTATTTTTAAAGGATGTTACAGGTGACATTCAGCTGGAAAAGAAGTCTTAAATCGAACAACAATTGAATAAATACAGAGAGTCTTTTGCTTGTGTTGGGATAGACAATCTTATTGTTTTACTATGGTGGAAATTTAACAGGTTTATAGAACATAGCAGCATGTAGGAGACCAATATAATATAATTGTATATGTATTTATTTTACTAACCGCCAAAGTTTACAAGTTCTTTCTCTTAACGGACAGCTTCAGGTGCATTACCAACCTCTGGACTATACTACAGTTGACCTACAGTTGACTACAGTTGGCAGTTAAAATACCGTCAAAGAGAGATGGACCAGCAGAATCTTACTCAAACATAAACCGCTTTTAGCAAATTCAAGTGATCAAGTGGTCCTAAACCTAACCAATCAAATTACTACGGCAACATAGGAAACATAAGAAAAATAATTCAGCTCCTCTTTGAGGCTCATCTTCACTTTTGCAGGGTATACTGGCCAGTGAAGGAACATGTTGAAGATGAACATTTCAGCAAAAAGGAAAACATTTTTATCATATTGCCTTAGTTGAATTTGGGGCTTCATATTTCATTTTTTATTACAATATATCACCGCAGCAATGTTCGACAGTTGTCTGTAAATGATGCCATAATTCCAGTCTTTATTGATTGTAATGGTAGGACAAATTGTATTTGGCAAGCAGCTGCATTTAGGTTCTTGCCAAATTCCTAAATGCTGCTCATCTCACAGGAATAGCCGACAGAGATGGTGATGAAAACTACAAAGCTGGATGGTATAGGCTAATTAGTATTGTTAAAACAGTGTGGCAAAACAAGAGACAGATGTCCAGTTAAAGTTTATATTTGAGGCTTTGTTGTATCACCATTCACTCTGCAATGATGTATGACCGTCTATCAGTGCCATCAACTGACGTGGCTGCACATCTGTAATGCATGGTGATTATTTCTGAGCCTAATGATGAGCCACGATAAGCCATCCGCTCCGACTCCCAAAACATGGAGAGTATGAGGTTTTATTATTTCTGGATCCGGTCCCACGGCCTGAGCCTCTGCAGCCTACTCTGGATTTCATGGAGCTCTCAGGCGGTGACCTCGGGAACAATGTGGGGTGCTGTGCTGGTTCTGGGGACCATGCGAGCCTAACTTCCCCCACCTGCTAGCAGCTTTACTGGCCTGGCCACGGGCCCCACGGACTGTTTCTACACTGTAAAAAGACAGTTAAACTAGCATCAGATTTTATTTCTGTGTTCAAGATTCTAAAGTAAAATTTGTGTTTTCTAAATGAAGATGATTCACTTTGAAAAAATAGACTAAATGGAAACATCATTTCTTGCTAAGGGATTGAAAACAATTGAGCTCAACAACAAGCGAACAGCTGAGGTGGAACAAGATAAGTCATTTACAGCAGGCAAAGTCATCACCTGCTGCCTCTTCATGAAGTCGCAGTCAAAAACAGTGCATTTCCTCAAAATGATCCATGATCTCTCATCTTTATTATTTTTTTAATCTCACTTTTATTACCAAAAAGTTTTAGTCGGTATTAGGGAAGACATTTTACAACATCATGGAAAAATAAATATCAGTACATAAATGACAAATGTCCCAGAGTGGATGCCTTTTGAACTTCATACTATTTCAATAAAGCCACATTTGCAAATGTTATGAATGAATATTATGCATTTGTCTTCAAATGCAAGTAGTAATTGATTCGATAATACTTGGAATAAATGAAGATGCATGCTCATAAGATGCTCAATTTACAGCGTTGGGGTAAGAGTCGAAAATGTGAGAAATTACAGCAATTGTACAGCAATACTGCAAATATATTCTGTCATATTTGATACCCTACAGAAAAAGAATTAGATTGGGATTTATTTGTAACATCAGACTACAGATTGTGGATGCGAAGATGCAAAACTTATTTTTTGCAGAGCAGGCCTGTTTGATGCTTCATGGGCGTCCGGCTGTGGGGGAGGAGTCTCAAAGACAAAATGTGTATGTGTTATGGGATATGTATGACATTGTGATCATTACTCAGCTGTCAGTTTGCACACACACACACACACACCCACACACACTGACATGCACTTCAATGGCCCACAGTCAAATCGTCTGCCCATGCATCCTGAAACACACAGATTTCTGTACTTTGATACTTCTGAGGATCACAACCTAAACTATCTGAGCTACATGCTAAAACTTTATCTCACATCTTTTCCCTTCAACATGAAACCAGGTCATTACCCTTTAAAATCATCTTTAAAAAGGTACTTTTTAAGATAATCTCCAATGTCCCCACCTGCCAGAAAAGGTCCCCGCTCCCAAAGTTTTCATTCACTGGTCCTCATGTAGACAGAAAAACAAGAACAATAACACACACAGCATGGATATCTTATTGTGAAAATCTCTTCCTCCCCACCTGCCTCAGCTATAACAAGGATCCACATGTGAACAGTGGGTAGATTGTGATGCAGCACAATGCTGGCACAAATAGAACGAGGAAGAAACCCTTGACCAGACCTTATAACATTATTCAGAATTTTCTTCTGAGCTTCTTCTGTTTGAGTTTTAACCGTTAAACCCTCTGCTTCTGCGCCCTTCCAAAAACAATTATTGCCAAAGACACCAGTAATGATTATGTGCAGCGTTTTTTTTTTTAATTCTGAGGCGTTGGTGTAATGAGATAAACTGTGACTACAAGCAATGGTTGTCGTTTTTTTAATCTTAATCTACAAAAATGTTAACACACTGGTCTTTAAATTAAGATGAATATTAATTTCAGTATAGAATATTACATTTTTTTAAAAATAGTTCTCCATTGAAAATAAAGGAATGGCTTTTGTGGTTAAAGAAATTGAAAAAGGATCGATAACGAGAGCCTTTAATATGGTAAACAAATGACAAAATAGATAGTTTGTCACTTGATTTTATACATATATACATATATACATTTCAGAAAATCAAAAGTCATGGTGTGAAAGTATAAGTTGACGTACAGTTAAATCTAAGCGATGGTTTGTTTCCTTGCATCCATGGTTGAAATTAATGTTGATATTCATGACAACCAGTGACAGCTTTTTCATTTTGCAAAAAGTTTATTAACGGATTAACAACATTTACATCGAAATTAATTTGATATGAATTGCATTCTCATTGTCGTCACCTCACTTGTGATGTCTCCTCTCTTTTTTGTCATCATCTTTGAGCAGGCTGCCAATAAAAGCACCCAAAGCTATAAGACCAACACCCACTGCAGCTGCGCCTCCAATCACAGCTGCTAGTTTCACCTATGAAAGACAAAAGGAGTGTCAGGCTGATGGACAAAGATGTGTTCCCTCAAAAAAACATTTATCTATTCTATTAACAAATCTGTACATTCAAGGTTTCATTCATATTTTTCACCTTTTGTCTTGGACGACAGTTTGCACATTACAGGTCCTACAAACAGAAATGTAAAGGCCACATATACCCACCTGTCTGGACTCTGCCTTTCCGTATCGTAGCTCTGTGGCAAAGTGCTCACAGTTGTGAGACGTGATCGAATACGGCTGCTCCAGACCCACCCTGCTACAGGCCTCCTTCACGATGGTGTGAGGGTCACGAGCTTCATACTCATCGTCCATTAAGTTGTTGATTTTGAAACTGTGATGGCCGACCACCTCCCAGATCTTCTGACGCCTCACCTGCGCCGTGCTGCAATTTAAGAGCGTCAACATACCACCAAAAGGTCCGTGGTCATCATCTGGACGTGTGTGGGTTTAAAGAGGAGAGGAACAGGAAAGAAGTTAGAGGAGCAAATCCCACCAGTCCCTGTTTGCATCCAACCTATGGTTCCTTTGGGGCATGTCATTCCCCACTCTTTCCCTCCCTGATTTCCGACTCTATCCACTACCCTGTCTCGCTAGCCCCTCCCCCCACCTTAAAACAATAAAGTGAATTTGTGCATGAATATGTTTCTTAGAGGATACTTAACTAAGCCTTTACATTAAAATACATCCACCAGCTGATCATGTCCAACTAAAGTTAACAGTCAAAGAATAAAAACAGTAATTAATACAAATAAGTTTGTATTAGTTTAAGTTGGTTAAAGGCTTTATATGTGATTTTTTGATCCAGCAGATGTCGCCCTTGAGCACCAGCATGAAACCAAAACAACTCGCGCTGCATTGTTGTGTTAGCATGCTAATGCTAGCTATCTTTATTATGCTGGTATCTTCACACTGCATGTAAATTTACCTGAAATGAGCGTGATCTAGAAACACAGTTAAGCAGTGAGTACAGTATGTTATTCTTATTTTCTCTAGTCCCTCAATTAAACAACTTTTATACACGAGGGGAGGAGTCAGCCGGTTGTCCGGGCGATGTAAACAAACTGAAGATAGGACTCTGAAAACTCTGAAAACATCACAGACAGTGGGACTCGGGTGTTACACCCATTGTAGACAGTCATGACTCACAGAGTTATTTTCAGAGGATATACTTGATTTCTATTTTATTTAAGTGTGAAAAATCACATATAAAGTATTTAAGTTGGTTGATTATCAAGTAACTGCAAACCTTTACTCACCAGGAGGGATTAAATGAATGACTTCATTTCCACCAATGTAGACAGCCCAGTGCTGATATGTATCACGGGAAATCTCAATGAGGTCCCCAGGCTGAGCACAGTGGTCAAACTGTAATGGTGCACAATAAAAATAACAAATATGAATTTTATATTTCTTCAGTTTAAATGCTTAATGAGATACCCTTTTTAGTTATTGACAAGTTTAAGTGCTACAGAACAATGTTTTACATTATTATTTTTTCATGTTCATGCACAGGGGGAAAAAAACAAAATGTGAAACCATCTGAATGACAATAAACTGCTCCAGTCTGCCATTTTGTCCTGATTTTCATTGCTGTCTTTATTATATACTTGCACATTTAAATATGTTAACAAATAAATGAATCTTACTTCTTAGTATCAGTGTAACTTATTTGTGTAAAGTCTCATTTTCTTGGTTAAAAAATACAATCCATAAGAGCTTAATATTAAAACAAATATAAAGAGTTCCATCTGGTTTGTTGTGGAAGCAGCTTCTAACCTTAAATATCTCTCGAGTGCTATCAGAGCTCGGTTCAGCAGGAGACTCACCAGTGTTGGAGCCATGTCGTCGGACGTCTGTCAGGTAAGAATAGAAACGACTTGCAGCCTATTAAATACAGCTGACCGCAAAGTTATTTCTGTTTCTGTCTCATAGATTAAACCTGGTGACTGACACCGAGATAGACACAGAGCTCAGATACACAAATTGGTGAACGCTTTATAACCCGGCAGTATGGCCTATATTTGCTAATTATTTACTTGTTGAGTCAACACAAATGTTGTATCTCTCTCTCTGACTGTGGGCAATAAAAGTACAGAGGTTAAGTTTCATTTCTCTAAAAATAAACTGGAGTTGCACTTATGCTGCTGCAAGCCTCTTGGGGTTAAGTTTCACACAAGTTGTAATTGTTATGTATCGATCAAATCGGCCTCAAAGAAATGATTGGCATTCCTCTAACATCAGTTACAGTAAAATAAAGACTTTATGTTTAATTTAAAGTGTCTTTTCATGGTGAAAAACTGGACAAAGCTGAACTAAAAGATAACTAATAAAGCACCTTTATGTTACATTCATTAATTTACAATGTGATGTTTAAGTCACATGCTAATGGTCACAGTTGTTGGCAGTGACCTGATGTTTATGCTTGATTATATTTATCAAGAAAATTACAACAACAACGATCTCACTTTATCAACACAGAGGCCATTTACCACTGTTCACCTTTGACAAAGAACATAGCATCAGGCCCAAGAGAAACTTCCTTTATTAAAGTACTTTAATTAAGTTTTCAACCAATTACCTGTAGATTGTTTCTTATATATTTTTTTAGAATAAATCATTTTAAAAAAATGTCACCGAAGCTTCAAGAGTGTTGGCTATATTCTTGGATTAAAGCGTTGATTATCAATATTTTTATTTAACTCATTCAAACAAATAGTAAATGGACTTGAGCTTGTATATTTATTTTCTAGTCTTCTGACTACTCAAAGCTCTTTTACACCGCAGGTCACACCTACACATTCACACACTGATGGTAGAGGCTGCTGAGTAAAGTGACCATCAGACTAACTAATCCATACATACACATTCATAAGCCATCGATGAAGCAGCGGGAGCAACTTGGGGTTAAGTGTCTTGCCCAAGGACACATCGGACATGTGGCTGCAGGAGCTGGGGATCGAACCCTCGACCTTCCAGTTGAGAGACGACTCACTGACTGGCGCCACAGCTGCCTCAAAGTGGATAAATCCAGCCAACTTAACAGCTCTAATGTACACTTAAACTTGCTGTAAGGGATTTTCAGCTGCTTGAAAAAAAGAGTGAAATGAATATTGACGCCTCTTTATGATCTTTAACAGCAAACAAGCAACAGGACAGATGATTTTTTTGTATTCTGTAAATGCCATGGGGTAGACATCAGACAAAGTGATCAACTGAAATGTTTAGCAAAGAAAACACTTAAAGCAAACACATTTAAACAGTTGTAGCTGTAGCAGAGTGACGTTTGGAATATCACACTGGGTGAACAGGAGGGGAAAATATATTTTCTTTGTAATGTTCAGGAAAGAGTCCAAGTTGTTGGACCTGGAAAATAAATTCCTCCCACAGGTTAATATGAAGTGCTTAAAACAGGAAGTGCTCAATCAGTCTAGCACAGGGCTCTAACAGGATAGTTAGCTTGTCAGGATATTTGGAGAAATTCCCCACGCTCAGATCAATGCCGCTGGTCGTTTTATTAAACACAGCTGTGAAACAGTACATCCTGAATCCCGGCCAATAGTATTTTTCTTCTTTCCCATTTGTGTCCCTGTAGTTCCTCTTTAACATTCTGCTCTCTGTTGGTCGTCTTCACCTCACTGACAGCACACAGAAGCTTAGAGAGGAGAGATTTGACACCAAACATTCATCTCACTCCTCGTCTGTCAGCGCTGCCATTTACCACAACACCTGTTGAAGTGCGAGCCCCATCAGCCGTCACTCTGTTCACTGCTTTGTTCTGCTTCCTGAGATCATATACAGTAAGCGTCTCTCTCAGAGCACTGGATCATCCCACTTAAGATCAAGAGTTTCACTTGAGATCAAAAATAACTTACAATCTATACATACAAGAGTAGAAAATGTACATCTTTTAGACAACTTACCTCCTGATATTTCAGCTGTTACTTCTTATTTTATTGAGTTATGGAGCTGGAGTAGAGCCATAAAAATGACTTTATTCTGCGTTAAAAGCTAACCCTAAGAGGACATATCATCCCCTTCTTCCACCTTTTCAAACAGTCCCCCTGTGGTCTAAATGAAACATCTGTGCTGTGCTTTGGTCAAAATATAACATGAATCAAGCACCAGAGGAGGTTTGTGACCCTGTATAAACCAGCTCTCTCAGAACGCTCCGTTTTGGTGTGTGTGTCTCTTTAAATGTAATGACCCCCCCCCCCCTGAGTTTTCCCCGAAGACATCACTCCTCTGTAGTGAGAATAAAAATAGCCGACCTGTGCAAAAGTTCTGCTCTAGTCTGGGGGTGGAGTCTATGGGTGGAGATACCAGGGGAGGGGAGGGGATTTCTTTTTAACCAGAATCCCACTGTGACATCACAAGGAGAGCACATTTGAAACAGAGCATTTGTCTCTGTGTTGTAAGACTTATGCAGACCACAAACAAAGGACTGGATGGGTTTATTTCACATGTTGTGGGTCGGTAGACACTCAGGTTACCCAAATATATGTTCAGAAACACTATACAAGTGGATTCTTCCTAAAATGTCCCCTTTAAACATCTGGTATGAATAATATATAATATGGAGCGACTGGGCACGGTGTGTATCTTCAGAGAGACACCATCATTTTCTAAAAAGTATTTTTGTGTTTGCTGTTTTTGTCTCATTTTGTATTCTTAACCGCCTCACACATTTTTTTCCTCCTTCCTTTCATAAATCCTTGTTTTATCCCCTCGTGTCCTGACCTCTCATGTTTTCTTTCATCTCTCTCAATTACCTCATATCCTTTTATTCTTCCCCACCCGCAGACCTCCACCTTCTCTCTCACCTGTCTTCTCTTGGCCTCTGACCTTTTCACACAGGAAACTTGAGAGTGAAGCTGTGTGTGTGTGTGTGTGTGTGTGTGTGTGTGTGTGTGTTTGAGGGGTTTAATCAGACCCTGAGGCAGAATACGGAGCTCTCATCTCAGACTCAGACCCCCCTCGAATCTCTCCTAATCCCTCCTTGTGGGTGCAGACTACCTCTCCTCCCAGCAGTAAAATCCCCCTGGTGAGCTTAAACCAGCAGACCTCCACTTTATCCCTCCTCCTCCTCCTCCTCCAGTCGGCCCTCCTCTTCTTCTTCTCGTACTGTAAGCTCAAGCAGAAGGCAGTGCAGTGTCAGACGTCGGCCTTTGATATGCAGATTTCCTCCTCTTCTTCATGTCTTTTCAACGTATTGACTAGCAGTGATGCGAGCGCAGCAGCAGCGTGGTCCTCGGCCTGATGCTCTGAGGGGAGGGGAGGAGACTCTGATGATGAGTTTCTGCTTAGTCAGTGATTTGCCCTCTCTCTTCCCTCAACCTGTTTTAAAAAAAAGAAACCACTTCAATCAGCTGGGAACAATGCGTGCTCAGGAGTTTAGACCAACCGCACAAACACAGGGAAATGAGGGAAAAACTCAAGCTGACGATAAAAAGGTTAAATGGAAAGTGATTGGTTATTCCCTCACCTTACACAGAGACAAACAACGAGCGGCGGTAATGACTTGAGGTCATGACCAGGGCAACAGAGGGTTGTCAGGTGGTCAGGAGTTTAGAAAAACTGTAGAAACGGCAGCAGAGAGAACTCCCATGATTCAATGCCAGCCTCGACATCATCTTTTTGTAATTGTTTGATTGAGAGCCCCCTGGTGGTGGAATTCACATACTGCGTGTTTAACTACATACAAGATTCAGACAAGACTTTGTAGTGATGAGTTGAGCACTTTTTCTTTTGTAAAATATAAAATATCTTGGAGTGGTGCAGAGGCCAAAAAGTTATCCTGTCATCCTGCAGATTGCAGAGGAATTTAAAGGAAACAAAAAAAGTTGTAAAGAGTCGATATTTGGTTATTTTCTGCCTTGCCAACTTGTCCTACACTTCTGCCCGCTGCCCGTCTGAGGCCTTTTTCCTGTAACCACATTGAACCGCAGTCAGACCGTAAATCACACGGGCCGTCTGGCAGGAGTCATGGATCATCGTACAATAGTTAATTAAAGACCGATCAATCCCTGTGCCACCGGTTCTTTCTTTACACCGAGTCTACAGAGAGCAGTCCCACGGTGCCTTCATCCCAGGGAGGAGGAGGAGTGGGAGGAGGAGGAGGAAGAGGTGGAGGAGGAGGAAGAGGAGGAGGAGGAGAGAAAGAAGAGGAGGCAAGCGAGCAGTGGAGGGGGAGAAGAGAAGAGGAAGGAAGAGAGGAGGTGTAGGGCGCATTGAGAGGTCACAGAGGTGGAGGAGGACAATGAGCAGTATGGGAAAAGGAGGAGGAGTATAAGAGAAGGAGGAGAAGCAGGAGGAGGATGAGTAAGAGGAGGGGAGTCTGAGTGGAAGAAGAGGAGGTGGAGGAGAGGAAAAGGAGGAGGAGAAAATAAGGTGATGGATGAGGAGAGGTGGATGACTTGAAGGAGGAGTGCGAGGAGTCATGGAAGTGTAAAGGAGGTAAAAGAGGAGTAGTGAAGGAGGACTTGAAGGGAGATGTAAGTGGACGAAGAAGAGCTGGAGGAAGTGAAATATTATAAGGTGGAAGAGGAGTAGAAGAGGAGGAGGGGGAGAAGAAAGAGAAGGAGGAGCTGGAGGAGCAGGAGGAGGAGGAGGAGGAGCAGAAGGAGGCCTGTGCTGTTTACTCAGGACTACAAAAAGAAGCTGTGACACATATTTGCTCAGAGGACAAAGCCTCACAGGCTCTCTGGCACCAAATGAAAGACGTGTTTCAAAAGTGAATATAACTCTTCACTTTTCCCTCTCTCTTTTCTCTGAATCGCCAACTTTTAGGAAAATGAGTTTTGTGCCAGTTGCCATGGTGATTGGTCAAGCACAGTGGGCAGTGGAGAGCAAGGGGGCAGCTCAGACCAAAGTTCACTTTTTTACTGTAGGTGGCACACTGTGCATAATTACACTGAGAGACAGTTTACATACTGAAAAGAGGACAGTGATACAAGAGGAGCGAGCAGAGGGTTTAACATGATGAATAAACAAACAGGAGTTTTCCCACTGAAGGCCAATTAGACAT